TTAAACAATTATTTCATGTCAACGACTTGAGTTTTTTCTATCCCATAAACCCAAAGTTCAAAGAAAAACAGAATAGAGACACATCAAGATATCTGTAACTCTGAATGTGCACTCCACATGCAATTTCAAAACCATATTCGGATTCAAAGAAAAACAGAATAGAGACACATCAAGATATCTGTAACTCTGAATGTGCACTCCACATGCAATTTCAAAACCATATTCGGATTGAGAATCGGAGCAAGGCAGAGGGATTCTTCTGCAAACCTTGTCGCAGCCGTCCCCGTGCGTCACAGTCAAGGACGATCCCATGTTGTAGTGCCAGTCGGATTGTTGACATGCCAGTAGTACGGGCGCCCTGATTGCAAAGAATCTGCTCGTGGTCAAAGACACAGAAGTGATGTGCAAGTTGAAGTTACGCAACTGGAGCACGTGCCTGAGGCGGGATCCGTTGTGGACTGCCAACCTGCGGACTGGAAGTATATGGTCAGGTCGCTTAATGATAACCCCTAATTGTTCTGGCTTCTTCAGATAAACTGCATCTGCAATATGGTGCAGTCATGTAGCAGAATGAGTATGAGGTGAGGTGGAGGGAGTACTGAGGCGCATGCCCTCTGGCAGAGTGTAAGCGGCGTCCACGCCACCAACACCTCTTCAAGCGATGCAGGTCGCAGGGTTTGCAATGGATGCAGTTGTCTTCAGCTGAGGGTTATCTCAAGTTATACAAACCAAGCCTGCAACCTCGGTATGAGGGCTCGATCTGTCTGCCCAGGACATGCAGGATGTACAAAGGACTTTGAACTGAAAGTAGTGGCGATAGTTAATCTTTGTGCATGCCTGTGAGTTGGCATCATTCTTACTTTGCAGGTTAGTGGTGCCTTCTTCATTACAACCCATGCCAACATCGTGTCCCTGTCCTTTATGGTCTGTGTGCCCTCAACACTTCGCAAGAGGAGAAAATCTCATGAATCGCCTCTCGCTCTGGTCGAAGCTGACCCGGCCATAAGATCAGCGTGCTTCCTGCTTCAGGCCCACTACTGGCCGACTGTTTTCCAACTCGGGCTTCGTTTGGCAACATAACCCTCAGAAGCTTCTCACAGGTGAAACCAGCTACAACAAAAACAACGCTGCAAAGGCTGTGTGCTTCAAGGAAGACATCTGCCCAGGTGCTTCCGTCTGTGATACATCGCGATGGCGCGGCGGAGAGATGGCCTTGCTGCAGGGAACACAACATGCCTCAGGTCGTAAGAAACGCTTTCGGAGTCTAGCAGTGTAGTGTGGACATCGTACGTATAGTAATCAGTGAAGTCTTGGCTACAGTTCCGAACCTGCGTCGTTTGCTTGAAGTCAGTTCGCGCCGCCTACACTAATTTCAACAAAGGACCTGTTGGTACAATGATAAGTTGGCCAGGCAAGAGAGTGAGAGCCTGGCACGCTCTGAGCTTCATCAGACTCCAGCTCGCAGCCATTACTGTTCATCTCCTTTCTGCAAGCAGACATATGATATCACAGAACAACATCTTCATGCAAGCAGCATCCTGAACCACCCATTCTGCATTCTCGAGGTCCTCTCTCAGGATGGCAGTCCTGCTGCCACAGCTTTTTTTCAACGATAGTGCAGCGTGGTGTGCAGCCTCGCGGGGTCTCCTTAGAAGGACTGCCCAGGTTTCCAGCAGTGAAGAGGAGGGCAGCTCCTGTTTCCAATGCTTTTGTCAGTTGTCTCAAGAAAAGCATCGGCAGAACTTGGGAGGCCTCTTCCAGCCGAATCGGTTTTGTCACGCTACTCTCTTTGCGACGTGGGGCTGCCTGCCGCATCTGCTGGTAGCGCAGCTGCTGCTCCTTCGGCAGGGCAGGTTCCCGTCGTGTCATTTTCGCTGCATACGAAGTGCTCCGGGGAAGCTGCGACTGGACCCAGATGCAGCGCTGGCAATGAACTGGATCAACCCATATCTCCCTGGCTGAAACTAGCTTCATATGGGGTTTGCTAGGGGACCCTCAATATATACATGGGCCCCCAAATAATAGGATCCCCTTATCACAAGGACCCCAATAAGGCCCCCCCCCCCCTTCCAGTTTCGGAAACCCCCCATGTGCAAACTCAGAAAGTCCCAGCCTTGCAGTCACGGTGGCAACTCAAATATGCTCGCCAATCGGGACCACGGGGTGTTAAGCCTTGGCAATCTCTAGGCCCTTGCTTTTGCTTCGCATGCTTAAACATGGGGTTTTCCGAAATTAGGAGCTACCTTGTTGGGGCCCTTACGAAAAGGAAATCCTACTATTTAACGGGTCTTTATTAGGTATCCCGTAAATTCGTCAAGCCCCAAATCTGCTTGCAACTGCGAGAGCGGCGCTGCCACTGATCCAAGAAAGAAGAGCCCGCAGTTTGGCAGATGAGTGAGCAATCAGGACCTTCTGTCTCTTTCTACGATTGTAAGTTGTTGAAAGCAAGACTTGCGCGAACTGCATTCTGCAGGCGCAAGGCAGGCAAAGCAGCTGGCACCCAGACCGTCGTGCGGAGTTGAAGGACACAGAAGACCTCCATACCCACTGGAAGATACACTCGGGTGGTGCACAAGCCAAGGACATGAAGTCCAACCTACCAGGACCTACCAGTTGCTGCTGGGGCGAAGCGCAAAACTGTTAAAAGACCTCATCCGGTACTTGTGGATGGGGTCCTCTCGCCCAGTCAGCAATTCCAACCAACATCAAGATAGACCGACTTGTGGCTTTGTTCAAGCTGATTTCTTGCTGGCAACAGCACGCGAATGCATAGTGATTCTGATGCAACACGGGCAAACCTCTTCAGGTCGAGAGCAAACAACTTGACATAGCGGGTACAAGCTCGGTTCTTGGCGTCTCCTGCTCATGCAGCTGAGACACAAAACATAGTGAAACACCTTCTCTAGAAATTTGCCTGTTTAGAAATTTCACCTCAGAGGGTGAGCTGGCATCGAAGGGCATTCAACAAATCCACCAAACGAGCAGCAAGGTCGTGCCGGTCGTCCCCAGGCGAAGTCTGAGCAGCCTTGGACTGATGTGCCACCAAGTCCAGCAAGCTGGAAAAGCTCATCCTTGCAAGGGTCTTCCGCAAGTTGCGGAGATCTCGCCAGGGGAAAGACTCAGTCAGTGGCGACGAACTGCTATTCTCTTCAATAACCCTGAGAATCTCGGCCGCTTCCCTGGCGAAGCCAAAACGCTCAGCCCTGGCACGACAGAACGGAAGCAGTAATGTCAGAAGCTGAGCTTGGTTGCACTGCTGCATCATGATGCGTTGCTTCTTGTCAAGTTTCGGCCACTTCCCTGTGTGCATCATGTGGCAGTAGGCACAAGCCTCTCCGCTTGCGCAATGTCCCAAAATGAGGTAGACGCAAGGACGGCGGCATGCCTCTGGATGACCCAAACTGCCCGAGCTAGAGAGCCTTAGCTCTTGTGCCACAGGCGGACTTGGCGAGACGTCTTCCAGTTCTGCCGAATTGTTTGAAACAGCAAGCGAGACGTCTCGTTGTTGCTGGGCTGGCTGGGCAAGGTTGGCAGCCCTCTCAGCCAGGGCGGCCACATAGCTTCTCATTGCATCTTCCTCTTGCGCAGTCTCCATGGTGAAGCTGAGGAGCCGAGTACTGCCAGGTGGTGAGCTGTGACATCTGACTTTGCCGCCCTTCTCCATCTCTTCCGTGTCTTCCTTGACGTGGATGAAGGTGTTAAGGTACTCAAGGGTCATGGCAGCCATTTCGAATTGAGGGCTATCTCAGGTACCTTTCCACTGGCAAAACAGCTCAATGCGGGTCGAAGCTGCTGCAGGCTGAGTAAACCTAGCAAACCGTGCACGTGAACTTTTGTCTTCTCGAGGTAGAGGGAGCAGAGGTTTCGCGAGAGCTACCCATAACGATGTGCGAGCATTCGGAGGTTTCGGACTCTGCAAACTGCTTGTGTGATTCTTCGGCAATCTCATTATCCGCACAGCTCCATTAGCGCAAGCTTGGATGCCTGTTTAAAGCTTCGTCCCGCTGTGGTTTGAGCTTCACTGCAGCTGTTCTCTTGAGGCTGCGGCCCACATCTTTCATCTCCTGATGAAATGCGCTTAGAGTCACTTTTGAGTACGATGTTCGTGCACCGCTGAGTCTCCACCTGGCCTGAAAAATGCGATCCGCGGCTTCACCTGGCGAGGGGACCCCTTTTGCATTCTCTCGTTTGCTCAAAGAGCTGTGAGAAAAGCCAATTAACTCAGTGCGCGGCCATCGCTCCCACAAGAAACCAAGAGAGCCTTAGTTTGCCGGTCTGCCCTCTACAGCCCTCGGCGTTCTGCTCTCTTGAGCCGACACAGCAGTGCCGCAGCGAATCACTACCCAAGGCTCATGCGTTGTAGTGCGTGGTCTGGACGCAGCCCTCGTGATTTGCACGAAGCTCTTCTAGCAACGCACGAGCCTCCAGCACATCATTTCGCCCAGGCGACAACTCTTGTGCGAAGCGAGTGAACAGAAAGGCAACTTGCTCAAGCCTTGTCCTGTTGATTTGCACGAGCGCAGGCGGTCATGGAAAGCAAGTAGACAACTTCCTCGGCAACTGAAAGGTTCCCTTTGAGCTTATAGGGTTCATCGTAGGACTATTTTCTTGTTGCGATGGGCTCTTGGTTTCACCAACAGGAGGAGGATCAAGCCCGTGGGAAAGACAATCCCTTGTGTTTTGGCCTCCTTCTCAACAGAAGCCTGGAGATCTTGGAGCCAAGCCCAGTTTGTGGTTTCATGGAGCGACTCGTCAGACCTGAGATGACTGCCAAAACCCCACGAAAGCACTCCGTAGCGTCACTCGAAGCGTAAACGCCGTAAACAGTACAAACTCTGAGCCCCTGAGCCCCACAGCATTGCGACGCAAAAGCCCCTCTGATGCCCTAATCCCAGCTGAAGGGCTTCAGGTTGCCCAGTAGCTCCACCGCTTCGGCCCAACGATGCCCCCTCGGACTACATGACCAGGGTCCGCACTTTGGGGCTTCTTGGGACTTCTTCGGGTTTTGGGTGTGCGGAGGTTGAGATTTTACGACTTGGTTCGGGATGCGTGGCGGCAGACAAGCTCTGTGACTCTACGTGCGAGCCTCGAAAGCCTAAAAGCCAACAAGCCAGCACTGAGCTCGTCTCGTGGCAAAACCAGTCAGGACCTTGGCACCCGAACCATAAGAAAATCATGCAGACCGCTTGACCGCAAGCACACTGTATCTCGGTTAAGACACAGAACGCATCCAGAGGCCAATGCAGGCCACACCCTGCATGTTACCGTTTCCGCCCCAAGCCTTGGAACCTTAAATCCTGCAGCCCTATCCCTGTTCAACTTTAAACCCCTCAAGCCCCAACAAGCACGCTGCCTGGGACTGGGTGATGCCGTTGCGGGCGATTCCTTCCGAGTCCAGGCGCTGGATCAGCTCATCCGCCTAAGTCCAGGGCTTTAGGGCTTAGGCCACTCTTAGGGCTAAGGGCTGGATTAGGGCTGGTAAGCTGCAGGGTTTCGGGTGTGGGGCTTTCACCTTCCGGGAGACCGACTGCATCCGAGGTAGAGTTAGGGACGTTGAGATTCTGTTTGGCCCAGGCCCCTAAAATCTTCGAGCTACCTTTTTTCGCCCAAAATCTTCGAGCTACCTTTTTTTGCCTCAAATCTTCGAGCTACCTTTTTTTTGAGGGGCGGGAAGGTAGCAGCAGCTGAACTGGAGCATCAAGGCCTCCTCCAGCAGCCCGAGCCTTCCAAGGAGCCCCAACCTCGGTGGCAGGTCCGTGACTACGAAGCTAGTCTCTGGCCGCAGCACTTAGAGACTTAGGGTTTAGGGTTTAGGGTTTAGGGATTTAAGGCTCCGACATGCAGTTGTAGGAGATGATGTCCCGAGCTGGGAGCTGGTCGAAGACCTGCCCACATCGCACAGAAAGAGCTGCGCAACCTGGAATGAACACGCGTCGCCGACTTTCATTGTGCAGCAGTGCTGCAGCAGTAGTGTTGGGTGGGGCTTGAATCACCTGGGGAAGCTGGCAGCGCTGGCTCCAAGGCCGGAAAATGTCAACTACTGGAGACCGCAAACAAAGTCACCAGGATGAGGCCTGATGCAACAGTACCGGGTGTTCGGGTGTGCTTTGTTCGCTAACGAGGGCTATGGCAAATTGAAGACCATCTCGCGGCACCGCCCTCTATCGCACGGTGCGCAGGTGGGTGAGCACCACCCCTGTCCTGCTTCATCAGAGCCCTCTTTCCTACTTGCATTGTAAGGGGAGGCTGTGCTACTCAGGACACCTCAAGGCAAGACCTGAGAATGAGCGCAGCGTGAGGTGAGTTAAGCGTGGTCTCGGGCAACCGAAACACTCTGCTCAACAACATGGCATGGCATTCTCAGGGCCCGGCCGTCTTGCTCTCTTCATACCGTAGCGACTTGCAGAGACAATGCAAGACCGCGCGGTGACAGGCGAGCCAACCTTCCCTTAGCTCGCAGCTTCTGACAAGAAGTCCAGTCAACTCACGGAAAGTGAAGTGCAGTGAGCTCCTACGGATGAGCCTGAGGCTTCCGCCCAGATTCCGCGGGAAACTGCTGGTAGATGGCCAGAGCTCCCTGCACTTCCAAGAAAATCTTTCAAGCTTACCAGACGAATTTCCATATCCTTAAGGGCCCCTGCGACTCCCCTAACTGGATCCTAAAGCAGAAAGTCTGCCGTTCGTCTGCCCCTGCCCCCCATGATCCCCATGATCCCCATGGTCCCACGGCCTGCCAGTCCAAGTCTTGAGTGCATTGCTTCACGGAGTTGATGATGGCACGCTGCTCCTGCAAAGAACAGACGCAGAGACGTGCTCGAACTCTGCAACGCTTCGCGTGTTGAAGGGCACATGTCGATTCCCAAACAACTGACTTACCTGACTTATCCTGATCGGCATCCACATTCATACAGATGCCCTGCCAGTCCTCCGTCAACTCCACGGCAGGCCGATTCCTCCTCGCGGCCGCAGCCTTGGGTGCCACAACGTGGAACTTAGATGCCAATCGGCTTAGGCTTAGGGGCCTTAGGGGCTCCAGACGCTCGCATCTGCGTCGAATGCATCTCTGAGCACGAGGCAGCGCTACGCTTCGCCTGCAAATGTGAGGCATTGATTCTTTTATCGACACCGTGCTGGCTCGTCTTGTGAGTTTCTATGTGTATTGAATCTGTTGAAATGCCACATGCCAACTCAATGTACGCACGGCCATTTTCTCGCAACGACGTCGCGCCAGCCTTTTTGGCTGTTGTTCACCTTGGGCGTGGTGTTGATAACTGTGTTGATCACCATCGATCACACCCTTTCCTCCGAGATTTCGGGAAGTCGACCGGTGCACTAGGGAGCACACGCGCGCACTGTGACACGGCTCCGGGCCTTCACATCACCCTTGGTTCGAGCCATCTTTCTGCAAGTGCTGCCGGCTCTGCTGGTCGTCGTGCTCCAGATGTGCGCCCGGAAAGCATTTCTCATGCTCGAAGCCTTCAGTGCAAGTCAGGCAATGCTGCGACTTCTGTACTGACACTTCTAGTGCTGAGCTTGCAGCATCTCGCAGGTGCCAGTCTCTGCCATTTTGACATAGCAGTGGGGCACACCTCTGTCATCTCAGCTGAATCAAACTGAGGCGTCTCTTGTCTAGAACACCAAGCATGACAAAGCCATACCCGCTGCCACTTAGCCATGCCACGCATCCTGGGTGAGTTCAGGCAGCTCTCATGCGCCTCAGCATCTGAAGCCTCCTGGGGCAGCTTCAGACAAGGGATCATCAGCTGCCCAAGCCGCCAGATGTAGCACGGCATGACGCGACAATTAAGAAACACGTTTGCAACACTTCGCACCCATGGCTCTCCTGATCTTTCCGCTTGATGTGCAGCCCAGGCGATTGAAGGAAAGTGTGCTGATCTGGGAAGGTGCGGAAGCCCCTGCGCACGAATATGGACAACACCTGGGCCACATTCGAGGATGGACTCAAGCAGGTTCCGTTCGTTCTTTAACAAAAGAGTTTGAGAGCTGCATAGAGCTGCAAAAAAAAGGAAAGTCTTACCTAACAAAGACGCAGAGGGCGTTAGCCTGGTCCTCCTGCGCGGACAGGATCAAGTCGCGAATGACAGGCTTGCTTAAGGGGCACAGTACTGACACAACCCACGTGCCTTGGCGTGGTTCGGCATAACGGGCAGCGCATCTGGATTGATGAAGTCAGGCAGATTGTAGGACTGTTGTGCTAGAGTCTCCCTCAGCAGTCTCCAATACAGATGCTCTTCTTCCACAGACCAATCATGATCTGGCCTGTGAAGAGACAAGTTTCGTATCTCATATCCAGCTGCTTGCGCCAAGGAATAAAAAAAGCGAGGCTCATACTCCACAGCACCATGACGTGGCCAGCATCCAGCAGCTGGGACCATATTGATGATCATCCCGCCGTCGCTTCGCACAAGGTTGTGTATATTTCGGAAGGCGTGGTACTGGGCTGCCCATATGTCCATTTTTTCGTATCCCTGGGGCTCATCGATATACTCACTTTCGCCAACATGTTCTGTAGTCCCAAAATTCGTCACGACATCGCACTTTCCCAGCAGATGCTTCAGAGACGAGTTCAACGGCCGTGACAGATCCAGCAGCACAGCACCGTCTCTGCCGTTGATGTCCAGGCTGGTCTCAGCAACAGTGTGCGCACGGCGCACACAATGCCAGTACATGCAACATCCCCTAAACCCTGAACCCTAAACCTGAATCCCTATAACATATCCCTATACACGCCTGTACATGGGACGTGTTTAGTATGTGGCCTTCTGCTAGCTGAGGAGCATGCCGGAAGCCGAGCCTCTCAAAGACTTTCTTCCCACTTGCCAGTGCTGGTGAGGGTGTCACGGCCATACTCTGCAAGACACTCCAAAGGTCGTAATAGTCAGGGGTATATCCATGCTCCAGCAACACCGTCATGGTGGCTTTCGTCACCCGCTGGTTGCCCAGTTCGCATATTTGCACACCTGACGCGAGATTCACACGGACCAGGCCGGGCACTGGGTTTCTGACAAAAACGCAGATCCGTACATATATCCGTAGGGCTTTTTTTCCGAGTCCCCTTGCACCGACTGTCTCTTCTCTTGTAGCTTACGTGTTTCGTATTCGGATGTTCGGCAGATTTCGGCAGCCTCGAACTCTGTGACAGATACAGCATGTGGAGGCTGGGGGATGTGTCCCAGAACTAAAGGCAGGACCCCCATGCTGCTCCGCAGGTTTTGGGTTTCGAGCTTCGGCATGCGAGGCATGTGTCCAACAGTCAAAGAACGAGTGGAGCAGTGCTGACTGCTGACACCCCATCAGAGGAACACGGACGCTGAGACAATTTTTGGAGAATATGCATCGGCATCGCAGGGGATGCGAAAGAGGGAGGCGAGGCTGAAAAGCCTGGCAGAAGAGTTCTGGGATCCATTTCCGGTGTGTCGAAGGGGCCTCGAACGGAGATGACCGTGACACACCTACATAGAAAACAGGAAAAGCACAAAGGGGGATTCGAGCTCGGGTTGTGTGCGCTGATGCAGGCTGCAGCAAAAGAAATGCGCTTTTCACCCGACCAGAAACGTACCGCGAGATGGCTACGCCATCGTTGTCGATGTTTTCTCTCCCCTATTGCAAAATTATGGGATGTTCCAGTATGTTTGTTTGTTAATCACGAGCAGGTAAAGAGAGACATGCCTACAAATCTCCGATTCGCAGACAAGCTGCTTAGCAGTGCATGTGCGACAAAGTTGAAACTTGACTTTACATGCGCAACTGCATAGTGGATTGTGACTGCAACTTATGGTAGCGGCTACATGCACCTCGCAGTCGGGCTTACTGAAACAAAGCCATGCGATGGCCTCGCTGCCCGTGATGTTGCAACTTCACCGCGGCCAGGATCACCGATATGCCAGTCCGGTCAATGCCCATTGTGTGGAAAACGTCATATGCTACACCACGAGACGTCCTAAAGTTTGTTCTAGGCCTCCTTAAGGAATTACCGCGGATGTGGTCGGTTTTGCTGGCCTGTTCTTCCCATCCTCTGGAGCCCCCAGCTTCAAGGACTCGATTCTCAAACATGTGAAGCTCCTGGGGATCCTCCTCTTAGGTAGCTGGGGGTTTCCGAACAGGGGGGGGGTGTGCAGCTTAAATAGGGTCTATTTGGAAGCTGGGAATCGTATTTACAAGAGGAAAACAGGCCCCAAAACGTATACTTATTCACAAGAGCCATGTTCCAAATAGACCCTATTTTAGGTCCTGTAGGGTTGCACAGACAGAATTTAATTCATTAAATTCCTTAATTTCCACTTTCCCCCTGGAATTTAATGAATTTAATCAATTAATTCAATTAATTCATTTATTTCCAAAGGGGGGGTGGAATTAATTGAATTAGTTGAATTAATTGAATTAATTGAATTAATTGAATTAATTGAACCCCCCCCTTTGGAAATAAATGAATTAATTGAATTAATTGAATAAATTGAATGAATTGAATTAATTGAATTAATTGAATTAATTGAATTAATTGGAATTCATTCAATCAATTCAATTAATTCCACCTCCCCTTTGGAAATAAATGAATTAATTGAATTAATTGAATTAGTTGAATTATTTCGATTAATTCAATTAATTCAATTAATTAATTTATTTCCAAATGGGGGGGATTCCCCAGCCCCCACCCCTCCCCCCCCTTTGGAAATAAATGAATTAGTTGAATTAATTGAATTAATTCAATTAATTCAATTAATTCAATTAATTCAATTAATTCAATTAATTCAATTAATTCAATTAATTCAATTAATTCAATTAATTCAATTCATTCAATTAATTCATTTATTTCCAAAGGGGGGGTGGAATTAATTGAATTAGTTGGATTAATTGAATTAATTGAATTAATTGAATTAATTCAATTAATTCAATTAATTCAATTAATTCAATTATTTCAATTAATTCAATTAATTCAATTAATTCAATTAATTCATTTATTTCCAAATGTGGTGGATTCCCCAGACCCCACCCCCCCCAGCTCGATTTGGCCAAATTTTGCCCGGAGGCTGCCCGGCAAAATTTGGCCAAATCGAGCCGCGCCTTTCTGGAGGCCCGAAATTATTTAAACTATCGCGGCTCGATTTGGCCAAATTTTGCCGGGCAGCCTCCGGGCAAAATGTGGCCAAATCGAGCCACGCATTTCTCATCGCATACGAAGGGCAGCCCGATTTGGCCAAATTTTGCCCGGAAGCTGCCCGGCAAAATTTGGCCAAATCGAGCCGCGATAGTTTAAAAATTTCGGGCCTTCAGAAAGGCGCGGTTCGATTTGGCCAAATTTTGCCCGGAGGCTGCCCGGCAAAATTTGGCCAAATCGAGCCGCGCATTTCTCATCGCGTTCGACGAGCAGCCCGATTTGGCCAAATTTTGCCCGCAGACTGCCCGGCAAAATCTGGCCAAATCGAGCCCGGCAAAATCTGGCCAAATCGAGCCGCGCCTTTCTGGAGGCCCGAAATTATTTAAACTATCGCGGCTCGGTTTGGCCAAATTTTGCCGGGAAGTCTGCGGGCAAAATTTGGCCAAATCGGGCTGCTCGTCGTACGCGCTGAGAAATGCGCGGCTCGATTTGGCCAAATTTTGCCGGGCAGCCTCCGGGCAAAATTTGGCCACATCGAGCCGCGCATTTCTCATGGCATACGAAGAGCAGCCCGATTTGGCCAAATTTTGCCCGCAGGCTGCCCGGCAAAATTTGGCCAAATCGAGCCGCGATAGTTTAAATAATTTCGTTCAATTAGTTCATTCATTTCCAAATGGGGGGGATTCCACAGCCCCCACCCCCCCCCCCTTTGGAAATAAATGAATTAATTGAATTAATTGAATTAATTGAATTAATTCAATGAATTCACTTAATTCAATTAATTCATTTATTTCCAAAGGGGGGGGTGGAATTAATTGAATTAATTCAATTAATTCAATTAATTCAATTAATTCAATTAATTCAATTAATTCAATTAATTCAATTAATTCAATTAATTCAATTAATTCATTAATTTCCAAAGGGGAGGTGGAATTAATTGAATTAATTGAATTAATTCAATTATTTCAATTAATTCAATTAATTCAATTAATTCAATTAATTCAATTAATTCATTTATTTCCAAATGGGGGGGATTCCCCAGCCCCCACCCCCCCCCTTTGGAAATAAATGAATTAATTGAATTAATTGAATTAATTGAAATAATTGAATTAATTCAACTAATTCAATAATTAATTCCACCTCCCCTTTGGAAATAAATGAATTAATTGAATTAATTGAAATTCAATTAATTCAATTAATTCAATTAATTCATTTATTTCCAAAGGGGGGTGGGGGTGGGGGCTGGGGAATCCCCCCCATTTGGAAATAAATGAATTAATTGAATTAATTGAATGAATTGAAATAATTGAATTAATTCAATTAATTCAATTAATTCCACTTCCCCTTTGGAAATAAATGAATTAATTGAATTAATTGAATTAATTGAATTAATTCAATTAATTCAATTAATTGAATTAATTCATTTATTTCCAAAGGGGGGGGGTGGGGGCTGGGGAATCCCCCCCATTTGGAAATAAATGAATTACTTGAATTAATTGAAATACTTGAATTAATTCAATTAATTAAATTAATTCCACCTCCCCTTTGGAAATAAATCAATTAATTGAATTAATTGAATTAATTCAATTATTTCAATTAATTCAAGTAATTCATTTATTTCCAAATGGGGGGTGGGGGCTGGGGCATCCTCCTCCCCCCAATACTAAACCACGAGCCCGGGCCTCCCCCCAATATTAAATCACGAGCCCGGGCCTCCCCCCAATATTAAATTACGAGCCCGGGCCTTCCCGCAATACTAAATCACGAGCCCGGGCCCCCCCCAATACTAAATCAGGAGCCCGGGCTAAATCACGAGCCCGGGCCTCCCCCCAATACTAAATCACGAGCCCGGGCCTCCCGCAATACTAAATCACGAGCCGGGCCTCCCCCCAATACTAATTTACGAGCCCGGGCCTCCTCCCAATACTAAATCACGAGCCCTCCTCCCCCCAATACTAGGGCACAGTTTTTTCTCCAAAAAGTGACATCGCAAGCCCTGGTCCCTAAGATTTTGAGCTCATTTCTTGCCCCAAAGAGTAACATCGCAAGCCCTGGTCCCTAAGATTTTGGGCTCATTTCTTGCCCCAAAGAGTAACATCGCAAGCCCTGGTCCCTACTTTTTGGGGCCCAGTTTTTGCTCCAAAGAGTCAAATCACAAGCCCTGGTCCCTAAGATTTTGGACTCAGTTTTTTGCTCCAAAGCAAGCCCTGGTCCTTAAGATTTTGGGCTCATTTCTTGCTCCGAAGAGTCAAATCGCAAGCCCTGGTCCCGAAGATTTCGGGTTCATTTTTTGCTCCACAGAGTCAAACCGCAAGCCCTGGTCCCTAAGATTTGGGGCACAGTTTTTGCTCCAAAGGGTCAAATCGCAAGCCCTGCTCCCTAAGATTTTGGGCTCATTTCTTGCCCAAAAGAGTGACATCGCAAGCCCTGGTCCCTAATATCTTGTTGCTCCAAAGAGTGACATCGCAAGCCCTGGTCCCTAAGATTTTGGGCCCAGTTTTTGGTTCAAAGCGTCAAATCGCAAGCCCTGGTCCCTAAGATTTTGGGTTCAATCTTTGCTCCAAAGAGTAACATCGCAAGCCCTGGTCCCTAAGATTTGGGGCCCAGTTTTTGCTCCGAAGAGTCAAATCGCAAGCCCTGGTCCCTAAGATTTTGGGTTCAATTTTTGCTCCAAAGAGTCACATCGCAAGCCCTGGTCCCTTAAAAGATTTTGGGTTCGTTTTTTGCTCCCAAGAATTGAACATCGCAGCCCTGGTCCCTAAGATTTGGGGCCCAGTTTTTGCTCCAAGGAGTCCAAATCGCAGCCCTGCTGTTCCCTAAAGGGGATTTTGGTTCAATTTTTTGCTCCAGAAGTAAAAATTCGCAGCCCGGTCCCTAAAGATCTTGGGCCCAGTTTTTGCTCCAAAGATTCCAAACGCAGCCCTGCTCCCTGAGAATTTTGGGTTCATTTTTGCTCCAAGATCAAATCGCAGGCCTGGTCCCTAATATTTTGCATTCATTGTTGCTCCAAAGAGTGAACATCGCAAAGCCCTGGTCCCCTAAGATCTGGGCCCAGATTTTGCTCCAAAGAGTCAAATCGCAAGCCCTGGTCCCTAAGATTTTGGGTTGATTTTTGCTCCAAAGAGTCAAATCGCAAGCCCTGGTCCCTAAGATTTTGGGCCCAGTTTTTGCTCCAAAGAGTCAAATCGCAAGCCCTGGTCCCTAAGATTTTGGGTTCATTTTTTGCTCCAAAGAGTGACATCGCAAGCCCTTGTCCCTAAGATTTTGGGCCCAGTTTTTGGTTCAAAGAGTCAAATCGCAAGCCCCGGTCCCTAAGATTTTGGGTTCAATTTTTGCTCCAAAGAGTCAAACCGCAAGCCCTGGTCCCTAAGATTTTGGGCCCAGTTTTTGCTCCAAAGAGTCAAATCGCAAGCCCTGCTCCCTAAGATTTTGGGCCCAGTTTTTGCTCCAAAGAGTCAAATCGCAAGCCCTGGTCCCTAAGACTTTGGGTTCAATTTTGCTCCAAAGAGTGACATCGCAAGCCCTGGTCCCTAAGATTTGGGGCCCAGTTTTTGCGCCAAAGAGTAAAATCGCAAGCCCTGGTCCCTTAGATTTTTGGGTCGATTTTTGCTCCAAAGAGTCAAATCGCAAGCCCTGGTCCCTAAGTTGTCGGGGTCGATTTGTGCTCCACAGAGTCAAATCGCAAGCCCTGGTCCCTAAGATTTCGGGGTCGATTTGTGCTCCACGGAGTCAAATTGCAAGCCCTGGTCCCTAAGATTTTGGGCCCAGTATTTGCTCCAAAAGGTGAAATCGCAAGCCCCGGTCTTTA